TTTCTGAATTCTTAAGGAGTGTCGTTTTATTTTTTCTCCATTTTTCTGGATGTCTTACCCTCTTCTTACCTTTCTTGATGAGCGTACAATTTTCTGTATTATTCAGAGGACTTATTTTATTTTCAGAAAATGGACTTCTGGGTCTCTTTTTCTCTTTTATGGCAGGGTTCGAATTTGTTTTACTTTCCAACGATATTTTATCTTCTGACGATACATAGTTGTCACTATCTTCTCCAAATAAGCTGTTCCCATCATCTGAGGAATGTTGCTCATCGTAGACTGTTCGAGACATTTTTCTCAAAGTACTCATATTTCAAAGGGTTGTGTTTCATAATTGTTTGAAATGTGTAGATTATCTAAAAGTAATTAATAATCAATAAAAGAAAGTTTGATTAAAAAGGAAAGTACCTACGTGGTCCAAGTTCACAAGGCTTATGTAGTAACATACTATTAGGGTCTAAACTCGAGGAATTCGGATTTAAATTCACTGCGCAAATGCTTCCCAGCTGCCAATAAATGTACTACCTTTATGATATTGTTCCATCCGATAGAATGTCACGTTCTGACTTTTTTCACACATTTAACTCAAAACTGCACAAAATTACACTTACGTCATTGTTGCTCCGGAGAAGCGATATGGTTTATAAATAGAAGCTCTAATAATAAGATAAAGAAGAAATTTATTCTTTAACATATTTTGTTTATTGTTAACATCAAATGTATCAAAAGCAGTAAATACCTGTATCAACGAGTGTATTCGGAAAATCATTTGTTCCCTGGTCTAATTACAAGCTTCTGTGAATGGACCAAAAATATAATTAAGGTAGATAATTTATATAAGGGCTATTATTTAACTTAAGTTACTTGTTTACGTCCAGTAGACATTTGTAAGACGTCAAGAATTTTTTGTAATATTTATTTTATATAATTTTTTTTATTTAAAATATTATATTTTAATTTTTCGTTAAAAACATTATTTTTCATTAAGAAGTATGTTCAAAGAACATACAGGGTGGTGAATCGTCAAACGGGCCATAGGAAATTCAATGGGAAATTCTGAATTGTTGAGTTCCTGCTTACCTAGTTATTTTACATCAAAAGTCATAAGAAACTATTGGTAGAGGACTGAAATATGTATTAAAAACAAGTGTTAAAATTGTTCTACGAATTAAATGTATTCAAAAATTTTATAAAAATATATTTCATTTTTCAGGCCACTCCTTAAATTCAGGCCACACAAAAGACAAGAATGAGTATGACATGTTTGGTCATATTTATGTTATTATATTATTTATCTATGTTTATGTTTCTGATATTTGACAATATTTAAATTTCCAAAATTTTCATTTTGTGATTTATTGTTTAAAAAACAATACCTATAGTTGATTAAAAAATGTATTCAGTTGAGGAGAAACTAGCAATAATAAAAATGTTGTATTTAGGCAATAGTGCGCGAATTGTCAGTTCTTTATTTAGCGTAAGATATTCCAATAGACCAATTCAAAGTCATTCAACAATTCAAAGGATTTTACAAAATTTTGAAAATAATGGGACCGTGATTTCTAACTGTACATGTACAAACAATATTGCTGAGATAAAAAAAAATTAGAAAAAGAAAATAAAGTAAATGTATTAACAGCAGTTGTAGAAAAATCGTAGAATAAATTCTCGGACCATTGCAGACCAGTTTAATATTCATAATTTTACGGCCTTAAAATTTTTGAAAAGGAATAAATTCCGTTCATATGAACTGAATACATTTCATCAATTTTATTGCTTTGTAAACAACACTACAAAGTAGTAGTATTTGTAAAAATATGCGTATTTTAGCAGAAATTCAACAATTTAGAATTTTACATTGAATTTCCTATGGCCCGTTTGGCGATTCACCACCCAGTATACTCAGTGGCATATAATAAAACCGTATAACATAAATATGTTTTAAAAAAGCTTGACAAGCAAGGATCGTTTTCAATTTCTCTAAGGTTGACTTCACTTAGCCACTGAAGAAGAACCAAAGACTAGCAACCAGCAATAACTGTCTCCCCTTAATGTATGGGTTGCTGTTGCGAAGTAATAGACACCTTTTACAAATTGTACAAACCATGTCGGTTTTAGTGTAGAAAACGAATTTATGTAATAGACAATGTCGTAATAAAATAGAGAACAGTAGTTTTCAATTTAGTTTAACAATGTGACTACATAAAAAACATCGTTAGTCTCAGAAATAAGTAATTATTTTATCAAATCACTTATGCACGAAAAAGAAAAAACGTGTAGACAGTTAAAACGTGTAACAAAATCTAATTTTATTACAATTGCTGTAAAAACCCTTGAAAATATGGCAGAAATTAGAACTTAACTTAAACCAGACATATACTATAACTACTTACATCTAAAAGCAACAAATCTCCCCCATATCGCGAAAATTATTGATGTTTGTAATTTCGAAGTCTAAGAATGACCGAAAAGCGAATTTTAATTAGAAAAGCTTTAACACGGTAACTGCCGATTTATTCTTAGTATTATTTAGTAGGTTTTCACCAAGAGCTGGTTACTGTTTTTGATACATAAACGTTTATTTATTAGTTTTTGGAAAAGTTCGAATAAAGTAAGTATTTTTAAATTAAAAGCACATATATACAATAAGGGTTGCTGATGAATGCGCTAGAGCGTCACTGGAGCTTATCTAGTATTTGTATAAAGACGCCGTACGACGCGTTGGTGCGTTTTGTAAATAATATTGATAAAAATCAGTTTTAATGGGAACATTTATGTACTAATATAAAATAAAACAAGAAATACAAAATAACATAAAATATAGACATATAAAACAAAACTAAGGTAAATGTGGGATATTTGACATCAATCCACACAAAATCCAGATGTATGGGGACAGGTTTTGTATTCGTAAATTGTATCTTTACGGATATTTCGTTCGCTGTAAGTTATAGTGATTTTTCATTTCTCAGAACTTTTCCCTTTAGATCTTATACCTCTCGTTTTGTTACTAGGTGATCTTTTGTAACGTGATTTAACGAGTTCTAAACGAAATTCATAAAGACCAATCTTTTTTCCAGAATACTTCTATATATATAGTATGTGGGCATTTGTAAGCATCATCTGCATAATATGTATAAATATTTTTATTAGCCATCGTACAGTTTTTCATTTACACGGATAATAGATAAGCATCTGGCCTTGTCGCTCAACACCAGACATATTTTTATTATATCTGTTTCTGGTATATATTTATTTAATAGGTTCTGGTTACATTACACGCTGACCTCTTCTTGTTGTAACTTGTAAGGTGTTTTGACATTCTGTTGTTATATAGTAAACGTCTCCTCTTAAACTTCCATTTGCCAACTAATACTCCTTTTCGGCAACGGGCAATTGTTGCACCTTTAACAAGTTTTGCTTGTTTTACTTATGCAGGATTATTTTTACGGTCAATTTGAAGAGTTCCTGTGCAGTAACTTAAAAATCCAACCAAATTTTTGGCTAAATCAAAGCTGTTGTTCATGTTTGTCAAGATGTCCATGTAAACGCAATGGCCTACATGTATTTTGACTCTAAAAGGTGCAAAACCTTAACCTAACTTTATATTGGCATGTTCTTTTCCAGAATAAACAATACATACGCAACATACAATACAGGACAATCTAATACAGTGTTCGACACAGTACTTACTAATACAGACCTACATTACACAACTTACGTATAACATACTACTTCTTTCTTCTTCTTCTTCTGAGATTGGAAATCATCATGGCCACTGCGACTTTGTTAGCAGCGCACCTAAAAAGTTCAATCGAACTACACCCGAACCATTCACGTAGATTACGAAGCCACGATATTTTTCTTCTTCCCACACTTCTTTTGCCTTTAATTTTGCCCTGCATGATATTTCTTAAAAGTTTGTACTTTTCACCTCTCACAATGTGAGAGTATTCCATCTTTCTAGTTTTTATCTCATTTAGAATTTCGCATCTTTTGTCTAAAGTTTGGAGTACTTGCGTGTTAGTGACGCGGTCCATCCATGATATTCTGAGAATGCGCCTATAGCACCAAATCTCGAAAGCTTCGATGTTTTTTATGGTCAACTGTTTTAGTGTCAACTCCATATAACAGGGTAGAAAAGACATAACACCGCAGCATTCGTATTCGTAACTTTATATTGATATCACGATTGCAAAAGAGTTTGCGCATTCTATTAAAGACTGATCTAGCGATTTCTATTCTACATCTAATCTCTTTTGTGTGATCAGTATCGTCTGTGATCCAAGACCTAGATATTTATAACAGGGCACACGCTCAATCGTTGTATTGTCTATTACAAGATTAGCTCTGATGTTCTTTGATTTCGTGATTACCATAAATTTTGTTTTGTTTTTTTTCAAATTAATTTTCAAGCCGTAACTGTTACAGTATATATTGAGACTTTGAGCGAGATGTTGTAGTTCTACTAGCGTTCCAGTTAGGAGAACTGTATCGTCAGCATACATTATATTGTTGATCATCTCACCATTTATTATCAGACCAAGATCTTCTTCCTCGAGTGCTTGTTCACTTCATAACATACTATGCAAACATATAAAAAAACACACACACAAAACGGTCGGAATTTGATATTCCTAGAGTAAGAACACTACCCCTAGATATTTTAATTAAAATTTTGCTATACATTTTATGTCATCATCTTCACAAAACTGGAGATACGACAAACCAGAAAGATAAGGCTTTATGAAAAAGGCCACTATCAATGCTGTGGTACATCATTAAGAGGACAGGGCAGAATGGGACGCTTTAAATGACAGAACTAATGCACAGCAGAGCTATAAAAGTCGCAGTGTACAAACCATAGGTCGCCATAGTTTGTAATGTGTTGACTCTAGTAATCAATAAAACTTTTAAAATACATAAATATGTTTTGGGCTTACTAATTTTTGTAGGGAAATGATTAAATTTCATTTGAATAATTGTTGTTTTTTTTTTAGATTAGTAAATAACATCCAACCCGGAATGGTAAAGAAAATTAACACCTCCGCAATGGCTTTCAAATGTATGGAAAATATCAACGCCTTCCTAGAAGCTGCCAAACAATTAGGTGTACCACCTCAGGAAACATTCCAGACTGTAGATCTGTGGGAGAGGCAGAACCTTAACTCAGTTGTCATTTGCTTGCAATCATTAGGCAGGAAGGTAAGAATGCTTCTCTTCCATATAACCATTAATAATTATTAACTAATAAGTTTAATGAAGTATCGAGGAATAACGTTTTAAGAAGAATTGTAAAAACAGTATTACTCTAGATCTAGATGAACAAGACCTCTTACTTAGGACACATCTCTCGACACGAAAGATCTTACATATTCTTCTTAGGTGCCTATCCGTTCCGGATATTGGCGATCAACATGACTATCCTAACTTTGCTTGCTGCTATTCTGAATAGTCCGGTTGTCGATGTATTAAACTACTTTCTCAGGTTTTGAAGCCAAGATATTCTTCTTCTCCCTGGTTCTCCCTTTCCAAATACCTTGCCCTGAAGAATAAGTTGCAACAAGCCGTATCTCTGTTTATTCCTCATAACATGACCAAGATATTCTAGTTTGCGCTCTTTCATGGTGTTAATAATCTCGCATTCTTTGCCTATTCTACGTAGGACCTCAACATTAGTCACACGATCCACCCATGAAATTCTTAACACGAAAGATACGTGGTCTCAAAACTAATAATGTAATGAAAAATAGAGCCCCGTTAAGGACCTAACCGTACTCAGTGTTCCTGGTTGGAAAACATTCTTCATTTGACAAAACCATTCACGTACACTTCTAAAAATGGCATAAAACCTCTCACAGTTCGCTGAAATTATTGCTAAGCTTTACTAATGGAGAAGACACTTGAAAAAGAGAAGAAGTGACACTTTGACATATCATAAACATGGTCGCCATTTTCAAGTAATGGCGTAGGATGGTCCCTTTCAGTTAAATTATGTTATTCAATTTTAAGTTTAAATAACATTTTATGTTGTTTTTTGTAATGTTTGTTACATTTTGCAAATGTTTAAATACCGCTGATGATGGTTGGATAAAACCAAAAACGATTAAAATTAAATATACAAATTACGCAAAAAGTTTTAGACTTCCTTTGAAGATCATCGTCATCATCATTCGACTTATTGCATCTTCTACTGGACAAAAGCCTCCTTCCTACGCCTCCAAGAAATTTGTTGTTTCTGGTCTGTCCATAGAGTCGGTGGTCTTTCCCTACTTTTTTTATCTTCACATGGTCTTCATTCTAATAATCTCTTAGTACATCTATCATCACTGAGCTGTACTACATGTCCTGCAAATCTCCATGTCAACCTTGATAGTTTTTCTATGATGTTTTTTATTCCCGTTCTTCTGTGAATCATTATTCAATTGAACTGTGAATAATGTTGATTGAAGTATTATTTTTAGTGGTTGTTGGTGTTTTGGATTCAAATGTTATAACTAGAAGCAAGCATTGATGTATACCTTTCTCTTAAGGGTCATAAAGATTTTCCAATGGTGTTCAGTACCTCTTGGTTCTTCTTCATTCTTTTGAATACCTCTTCATTTGCAATTCTATCATTTCACTGGCTCTTGAATATTCTCCGTTATAGCCACTATCTCAAACGTTTCCAATCGTCGTTGAATGTTCACGGTTTAACACTATAAAACAGAACAGAGATGTAGCATCGCGGCGTTCTTACTTTTATACCAAAAGAGAGATTGTGGCTTTTGAAGAAAGCCTTAATCCAGTTGAAGGTTCATCTAGCTTTTCCAATGCATGCCTCTTATTTCCTAGTTGTTGATCCATGCTTCAGTTTTTATGGTGCCGAGGTAGTTGTAGTGCTTCAGTCTTTCTTCTGGGATTAAGTTGACTTATAGTTGACTTTCTGTTATCTTTTTCGTTCTAATTATTATGAGCTTTGTCTTCTTTGCATTTATATTCAATCCATATTGATGACTGTGGTACGTGATTCTGTTCATAAGCACTTGTAGGTCTTCTAGTTTGTCCGCATATACAATGGTTTTCTCTGTGTATCTGATGTTCAACCGGTAGGATGTTTAGTAGAATCTCGTTATTAATTTCGTGCAAATCCTCGCTAAATATTCTTTTAGAACAGAGATTAAATATTAAAGGAGGCAAAATACATCCTTACTAACATACGTATACGTCGAATGAGGAGAATATTTTATCTAAATCGAAGGTTATTACGCATTTTTTCGTTGATTTTTATCTCGATCTTATACCAATTAACTTTTGTGAAAGCATGCACCAGAACTTCTGTAAAGAGCTTAAACGGCATCTTGTCATCTTTTCTAAAACCTCTCTCCAATGAAAACTCATTAGTTTTTTCATGTAGTTGCACACTTGCTATTGATTTTTTATATAGTTTATTTATTTTAGCTAGTGTTTTGGTATTTCTGCTGTATCTGTAATCTATACGACCCTGGGTTAGAGCCCTGATTATTCAGATCAATTCTATAATATCGAAAGCCTTTGAGAAACCAACAAAAACTATGACTGGTGAACGGTTGTTTGTTTGTTTGTTTGTTTCTTTATTTAACGGGATGAACCCTTTTTCGTTACAAAAATTACAGTATACACATATAATTAACATATAAACTGTAGTCATATATTACAATTTAAAAAAGTGTTATTAACATTAACGTCTCAATTTCTTTAAACTATTCTTGAACGAGGACACGGATAAATTAAACAATTCAACACTATCTTGCAAATTATTGGCAGTTCTCAACATCCTTGTGATTGACCCACTTTTACCATAATTAGTGTGATGAAACTTTAGTCTAAACAGGTCAGGAGAGCGTGTTCTTCTAGAATTTACATTAAAAACAATTAATTCCAGCAGTTCCGGACAATCAATATAACCATTAAGAATTTTATGCAAAAAACGCAATTCACACTCAGATTCTCTATTTTCTAAAGTTTTCATATTAAGTTGACAAAGAATATAGTTATAATCACAGTTAGTTCTATTAAAACTCATTTTATACCTGCAAATTCTTAGGAATTTATTTTGAACTCGTTCCAACTGATCAATATACATATTATAATATGGATACCAAATAATATTACAATATTCCAAAATGGACCGAACTAGAGAACAATACAAAATCTTGAAAGTAAATATTGAAAATTCTCGGGAGTTCCTTTGAACAAAGCCGAGCATTCTATAAGCCCGCGATGTAATATTATTAATATGCCTATCAAACATTAGTCTTTGGTCAAATGTAATTCCAAGGTCTCTAATTTGATTTACTTTTGTAATCGATACTCCCTTAAGTATGTAAGTTCTATATAACGGATGTTTAGTATTTCTGGAAAACGTAATTTTATAGCACTTTTTTATATTTAAATATAAGGCATTAATGTCACACCAACGAGATAAATTATTTAAGTCAGACTGAAGAGCATCCATATCAGAGGTATTTTTACTTGCTTTAAAGATCTTTATGCCATCAACAAACAATAGAAATTCACTATTAGTAATTACTGATGATATATCATTCACAAACAGATTAAATAGAAGTGGGCCTAAGTGAGAACCTTGAGGTACACCCGAAGTAACATTAATCGCTTCAGAAACAAAATCACCATATTTTACTATTTGTGAACGATCTGTTAAATAGCTCGTGATCCAACCCAATAAATTATCTCCAATTCCGTATCCACGAAGTTTAGCAATTAATATTTCGTGATTTACCCTGTCAAATGCTTTGGCAAAATCAGCATATATGGAGTCAACTTGGTTTCCCGATTCCATAGAATCAACAATGAAGTTTGAATACAAAATAAGATTTGTACAAGTAGATTTCTTTTGATAGAGACCATGTTGTTGACCGAGAATTAAATTTTTACAATCGTAGGTTAACATATGGTTAACAAAAAAAACAAGCAACTTTGGTAGTTCAGACTGCAAACAAACAGTCCTGTAATTTTCAACATTATTATTTTGACCAGATTTAAAAATGGGTTTTAAAAAACTCACTTTCCAAAAATCAGGAAATGTAGAAGAAGTTAATGACTTATTGAATAATAACTGAATAGATTTAGCAAGAGTGAATACACATTTTTTAATAAAATACATTGGTATACCATCTGGACCCGCTGTCAGTTTCCACGGATTAGTCTGTATCTTATCAATAATATCCTTAACATTAATTAAATAATTATTAGTATTTACATAATTTTCGTACTTAAAATTAGGAATCTGATTTATTTTTCCTTTATTATAGACAGTCGAAAAGAACCCAGCAAATAAATTCACAATATCTGAACCATTTTCACTACTTTCATTACCATAACTCATACTCGATGGTAGAACATGAGATTTGCGTTTATTATTAATATATTTCCAGAAAGAACTAGAATTATGAAAAATGCTAGCCTCAATTTCATTCACATGACGCCTTTGTAAATACTTGCTAAGCTCTTTACATTGTTCCCTGAGATCGGAAAAAAGACAATAGTTCTCATCACCACCAGTCATTTTAATTTTTTTATGTGCTTTTTTCTTCTCATAAAGTAAATGTTTTAACTCTGATGTAAACCATTTGTGCTCTATAGTTTCCTCTATTAAGGTTTTTGGCGCTATAAGATGATCATTGATAGTGAAACCTGAGCGAAAACCAGCTTATTCTATCGATTGATAGAGGTTAAGTTTATTTTCTAAGCTACAGGTGACTATTTTGGTAAAAGTTGTTCATAGGTAGAGGAGGCTTATAGATGTATAGTTTTCTATTTTTATAGATAAATATTATTCAAATTTTATTGAAACCCTTCTACTTCTTCCTTCTTGTATGTAGGCTTCAAAAGCATGTTACTTCTTTAATATTAGCCTCCTAAATTGTTTCAATTGTCGCACCATCTTTTTCTTGGTCTGCCAATACTTCTTCGCCAATTTGGTGTGCCAACTCCAAAGTATTTCAGATATATCTGATATATCAGATATATATATGAGTACAAGAATCCACAAGATTCTTTTTAAGGATCTGACACAGGAACTAGCTTACTTAAAAGACCTGATGGTACCTTTACCGAATCTAAAAAAGAAATACTAGAGCTCTCACTATAAAACTTTCCATGACCCACAATTATTGATGAGCAGACTTAGACTGAAAACCTAGAATCACTTAAACGTACTAGGAAAAAACAAAGGGAATTCTATGCAATAAACATCAAACCGGAATATGTAGACTACGCTATAAATCACTTTGTGCCATTTAAATCTCCAGGGGAGGATGGAACAATTCCTGCCGTTTTACAACAAGGATAGAGCATCTTTTAGCCCATACTATCATCTTAAGGGGATCTTTAGGGCTAGGGTAACCCAAAGTTATATACTAAAGACTCGTATAATTATAAAAGTGGTGAAAATACACAAAATAGGACAATACAACGTCCTATCTAAATCCAACAGGCCGATCTTACATCATTTCTGTTGAAGAGTCTTATCCCTTCTAGTATGTAGGCTTTAAAACCTGTTTCTTCTTCAGTATTAGCCTGCTAAATTGTTTAAGTTGTCACACCATATTTTTCTTGGTCTGCCAATACTTTTTCGTCAATTTGGTGACTTATCTCGTGCTATTCGTACTATTCTATCCTCTGCCATTCTACTAATGTGTTTGTTCCACTCCTGTTTCCGTTTTGTCATCCATCCATTCATGTGTTTTATATTGCATGGTTTCTTCTCTCCCTATCCAACAGACTTTTCTCTGATATTAGTCGGAGTATTTTTATCTCTGGTGTTTCTAGTAATCGTCTCGTGTTAGATGTATCAGGTCTTGTCTCCACTGTGTATGTTAATATAGGTCTAATTGCTGTCTTCAAGATTCTTACTTTTGTGTCTTGTCTTAGGTGTTTGTTCTTCCAGATTGTGTCCTTAAGAGATCTCGCCGCTTTACTTTCTTTTAAGCTTTGTTGTCGTACTTCTTTAACATCCTCGTAACTAGTTATATCTATTCCCATGTCTTGCTTTCTGCTTTATTATTTTCCCATCAATTTCGATTTTACATCATAGTGGGTATTTAGATGTCATACATTTGGTTTTTTTCTGCTGATATATTGTATTTCTTGGCTGTTGTGTTGAAGATGCGTTAATCTTTGGAGCTCGTTTTCTGTCTCGGCGATTAATGCGGCGTCGTCTGCATAACATAATATTTGGATTTCTTTGTTTCCCATTCTGTAGCCATGACCTTTACGTACTGCTTGTATTATTTCATCCATTATTATATTAAAGAGAAATGGGCTTCAAAAAGTGAAACCCTTCAAATTTAAGAAAACTCTACCAGTACTTATTAATGTAATAACTTAATATGTGTTTTAGGCTGACAAATATGGCAAACCACACATCGGACCAAAAGAAGCCGAAAAGAACGAGAGAATGTTCTCAGAAGAGAAGCTTCGTGCTGGTCAAACAATCATAGGACTTCAAATGGGAAGCAACAAAGGTGCAACCCAATCAGGGATCAATTTCGGGAACACAAGACACATGTAAATTAAGAACAAATAAACTTGGAACCATTCCAGCGGTTTTGTGTTAAAACTATTTCAAGGGTTTTAATGTTGAAGCTGTTTGGTACTCAAAAATAACAGAGTCTTTTATAGTACTTAGAACCACATAGTTGCCTGTTAGATGTTAGGTACTTAGCCTACTGTTAGTCGTTGTGTAACTTTTAAACTCAAGCCAGAAACTTGATTTTTGGTTGAATTAAAATTGTGATATTAACTAAAGAAATATATTTCAGAACCAAATTGGAGAAATAATTGCACCAATAAATAGCTAACACTTCTTTCTGCCAAGTATTTCAAACGTTGTACTCTTCAACTAAGATTTCGATCTTTCTTGAGTACTAAAGAAATCAATTTCTTCCATCGTTATATATAATATTGCACACAAGTAGTACTATTACAATAATATACAACATTGTTGTTGCAAGTTTTAATTAAAAATAAAGTTTTTGAAATTTTAACATTTTTTGAGAGTTTTAGCTTGAGTTTTAAGATTCTGCTGTTTTTGATCATTTTTGTATAAGAATATTTTTAAGACTATTATTTATGAAATATATGTTTTGTTAATACATCGAAAATATATATTAGTGTAGATTTACAAGCTATTTTTGATCGATTTTTAAACAGTATTGTTGTAAACATTCCTGTTAAACACTTCCATAAACAATAAACTAAGGAATAGCGTTCTTGGCGTTTTTATTATTTTATGTAGGTACGTACCTATAAAGTATACATAGGATAAACTATGATCGGCAATATCGTGGAAATCGCCACAAGACAATGATAAAAATTTATTCAGAAACCAAATAGATTATATCATGATCAACCAGAGATACCGAAATAGCATACAAAGCTCAAAAACTTACCCCGATGCAGATGTCCCTTCCGACCACACTTTGCTCGTCGCCAAATTCAAAAACACGCCGAAAAGCATAAAAAGAAAGAAGAGAAAACAGAAATTAGACATGAGCTTACTCAAGGATATAGAAACGAGCTAGCAGATATCACAAGAACTTAACCACGAATGTCGAGAACTTAAAAACAGACAAAAGGAAAATGATGTACCAGAAGAATTCGACGACTTAAACCAAATATGGAAAGAACTTAAGACTGTATTTCTAAAAGCTGAAGACCACCTTAAATACACGAATCAAAGAGGCAAGAAACCATGGATAACTAATGAAATATTAGAAATGATGAGTGTGAGACGACAACACAAGAACAAAGACTGGAATAAATATAAAGAAATACAAAGACTAATAAGAAAAAAAAATAGTAGAAGCAAAAACACAGTGGCTTGTAGAAAGTTGCGAAGAGATAGAAGACCTACAGAATAAACATGATGATAGACCAGTGGTGGTCCCAAGGGGGGGGGGGGCGATGGGGGCAATCGCCCCCCCAGAAACCTTAATTTTCTGAAAAATTGAGAAGTTAATATACATATTAATCAGAAGTGTGAGATCGAACTAATGCATTGCTATTATTGGACAAAATAATCTAACAGTGTGAAAACGTCCGTAGACAGATTATTTTAATAGCCTACGGTTAGTTTTGATATAACGTAACAAACAAGCGTTTACCTAGAAATTCTCAGCGGTCGTCCCGACACAGGAGCGCGTGCGCCAAAACCATTTGCAATTTTAAACCTCGACAATTTGTCGACAATCTATTAGTAACTCTTATAGTAACTCAACAGAGTGAAATACTACAAAGATGGACAGAATTCTTCAAAGAAAAGTTTGAAAAAAACGAAGATCCACTATATGATGGAATTATACTGGATTAACGGATACCAGAGAAACAACCTCCCTTCAGTAGCTGAAATGCAAGAAACAATTACCGGACTGATAAACAACAAGTCACCTGAATTAGACAACATTAGCGCAGAATTAATAAAGGGAGGTGGAAACTATTGAATGCGATACAAGAACTAATAGTGAACATATTCAATAATTAAACAGCTGCCACAAGACTGGAATACCGGAGTAATTATCAAACTACATAAAAAGGAAGACTAGCTTCAATGTAAAAACTACCGGGCAATAACGCTACTGAGTGTGGCATATAAAATACTGTCAAATATAGTGTATGACCGATTAAGACCATATGCAGAACAAATCATTGGGGGATATCAATGTGGTTTCCGCAGGTAGAAGTCCACAATAGATCAGATCTTCGTCTTGAGGCAAATCTTGGAAAAGTCTAATGAATGTAATGTATACACACATCATCTTTTCATTGACTTTGAGAGTGCCTATGATAGCATCCATTGAGAATTTTTGATCCATGCACTGAATGAGTTTAATATTCCAACTTAACTCATTGATATAGTAAAAGAAACACTTAAAAAAATACAAAGAAAAATTCGAATTCAAAACGAACTAACAGATACAATCCATGTGAGAACGGGCCTACTCTCCATTCGCTTAGCTAGGGCATATTTTGACAGACTCATTGTCGGAAACCTACAACACAACAATTCCTACTTCTCAGTATTAATAGCTCAAGTATACTACTATTGCAGACTTTTAACCATTTTTTTTAATTATTTGCTCATTCGGCGTAGGTTGATCACTAAAATATATTTATGAAGTTCTGTAAATATATTCTTAATAACAAAAACATTTCAGTTAACATCCATGTATATATAGCATGTATAAAGTTTCTATTATATATAAAATGTATATTATATATAAAAAATATATTTTATAAAAAGTTACAGTAATTTAGTTTATACCGTTAAGTTGCTCCAAATGTAGGCAACCAACTTAAACTTTTTTGGCAATTACCTGGAGTTTCTTGAGAATATTTTAATAAACGTTTAATATTTTCCAGTTAATTTATTATTTTTTAAAAGTCATGATAATAATGCTGAATAAGCAATATTTTAAATGATATTTAATCACAAAAGTACTTAAAATTATTTTATATAATCTTCATAAAGTACGTTTCTAATAGAAATTAGCTAAAATTAGAAGAAAAATTAGTTTATGATAGTAATAATAGAATATTATAATATTTTTGAATTATATTTTTGATGATATTGTATTATCTTTTTGATGCATAATATTTTTTAATTATAATATGAATATTATATTTTTTATCTAACGTACTTTATGAGGATTATATTATATAACACAATATTAAGTACGTCTTGTGATTATATATCATTTGAAATATGGCTTATTCAACATTATTATCATCACTTTAAAAAATAATAATAAAATTAAATATATTCTCAGCATAAATGCTAACAAAAAGTTTAAGTTGGTTGCCTATATTTGGCGTAACCTAACGATATAAACTAAATTACGGTAACTTTTTTATAAAATATATATTTTACATATAATAGAAACTTACTATCTTTATACGTGCTATAAATTTTTAAGTCATATAAGTTTGCAAAAGAGGTCGAAAATGCGCTATGAGCACGTGTGCTTGGTCGTATAGTAATTTCCAGCCACTTTAGTCTGTCAAAAAGAAACTAACTTCGTAAAAACATAATTACTAAAATCACTATAAAATGATAGAAGCATTTAATGCGATATAAAGAGCGGCACAAAACAGTGGCCTAAAAATTAACGAAATAAAAACCAAATACATGAAGGCCAGTAAATTGACAGGCCAGAAACCTACAGAATCTGACAATAGGAGACTATAACATGGAAAGCGTGAAAATTTTTACATATCTAGGTTCAGTAGTTACCTCAGATAACAATGTCAGTAAAGAAGTGAAGAGAAGAATATATATCGCTAATAAAACATACTGGACTGCTTAAACATCTTAAGATCTATCAACATCACAAGAAAAATCAAATGCATAATATACAAGACTCTGATAAAACCAGTCCTTGTATATGGATCAGACACATGGACACTGTCGAAAAGCGATGAGAACCTATTAGGTACATTTGAACGAAAAATCCTTAGACACATATATAAGGGGATAAAGGAAAATGACATATGGCGCAGAAGATATAACTTTCAACTATAGACAGCATACAATAAACCCGAAATCATAACATCCATAAAGATCGGATGTATGCGCTGCATGGGCCATGTTGAACAGATGTTTGAGACTAAAACACCAAAACATATTATGAGGCAAACACAAATAGGGAGAAGGTCAAACGGCAGACCCAAACTTAGATAAATGGAATACGATCTGAAAACACTCAAGATTACCAACTGGAAAAACAAAGCAAAGTACAGAACAGAATGGCGGAAAACCCTAGAACAAGCCAGGACCCAGAAAGGGTTGTCGAGCTACTGATGATGATGATGATCAATAAAAATAAATATTTATAATATTTAACGACAGACGCTAGAGCGACATCTGCTAACCAGAATATAAATAGAATTTAGGATTCAGCCCAAATCTGTGTTTTCTAAACGGTGCAAAACAAAAATAGACGACGAATGCACTGACATGGGGATTTATAATTTGTATCTACGCCATACCAATTCGTCTAGGCAGAAATTCCTTCTTGAAAACGATTTCGTTATACTCCATACTCCAAAATTAAAATGGACAGTTAAGGTTTGATTTCGTTACAGCGTACCACCATTCGGTGATATGTATGTTTCTGCCTCTTTGCGTCCTCAGAATGAACTCATGGTAACCTCTAACGAAATAAAACCTTTTTCATCCATCCATAGATTCGTGCTAAATCCTAAATTCGATTTCCGATTTATATTATTAAATATTATGTTTATATGGGATTAAGCCACAATTGATTATAATTAAAATTACATTTTTGACCAGCTTATATTTGACGTTTCAATTTACCTCCAACGTTTAGGTTGACTTCTCAAAAAAAAAATGAAAGTTATTTGGCACATGGTTTCGGTATCAGGTATCAGTGAAGCCAGGTGGCCAAACTCAGGTTGTTTTCCAATAGACGAAGCCACAATATATTATTCCGGTAGCGGGAATAACCAACACAGACACGGCGTGGCAGTAATAATTTAATAAAACATTTAATAGAACGTTGGAACGCCATCTCCCTATCTCAGAAAGGGTAATGGTACTGAAATTGGTGACATCTCATGCCAAACTGAATTTGATACAAGTTCATGCTCCTACGGCGAATGCCGACGAAGAAGTGGAAATATTTTACCGAGATCTCGAAGAGGCACTTAGAATAACGAAAACAAGAGAACTCACGATAGTCCTAGGTGATCTCAATGCAAAAATTGGAAAGGGACAAAGCGGAAAGTGTGTCTGGAAAATCGAAACGAGAGAGGAGACTGTCTGTTACAATTCTGTCAAGAGCAGAACTTGATTATTACAAACACATTCTTCAAGTTACCTAACAGACGACTGTATACATGGCTATCGCCCGCAGACACATCGGAGAAAGTAGTCAGACGTGGCCTCAGATCACAATCCACTTATCGCCAAGTTGACACTCACCCTTAAAAATATTAAAAGACATCAAAGAATCCCTACAATAGACATAAGAAAACTTAAAGAAACTAAAGTAAAAGAATGCCTCCAACATGAACTGCAACAAATTGAACACAAACACGAACGATATTAACGAGTACTGGGATCGACTAAAACATTGTCTACTGGAAACATGTAAAGAAATACTATAGACT